AAATGTCGACCTTAAAGTGCTCTTCACACCAAGGGATTGATCGTCGAAATGCCGACCTTAAAGTGCTCTTCACACCAAGGTTTGGGTCATTCAAATGTCGACCTTAAAGTGCTCTTCACACCAAGGGATTGATCATCGAAATGCCGACCTTAAAGTGCTCTTCACACCAAGGTTTGGGTCATTCAAATGTCGACCTTAAAGTGCTCTTCACACCAAGGGATTGATCATCGAAATGCCGACCTTAAAGTGCTCTTCACACCAAGGTTTGGGTCATTCAAATGTCGACCTTAAAGTGCTCTTCGCACCAAGGTTCGTGCCGACCTTAAAGTGCTTTTCGCACCAAGGTCGCCGGAATCTAATAGGCAGGCAGAAACACCGAAATCGCCGAGTTTAACGGTGCCGCGCGAATCAATGAGAATGTTACCGGCTTTGATGTCACGGTGGATGTGTCCGTGATGGTGAAGATACTCCAAACCCTTCAATACCTCTTTGAGAATGGTTGCAATGACAACCTCTTCAAAACCATCGGGATGCGCGGCTTTCAATATGTGGAGGCATGAACCGCCGGCCATGAACGGCATAACCACCCAAAGATTGTGCTCGGCGACGAAGGAGCAGTGCGATTTGAGGACGTTAGGGTGATCGACGAGGATCATGGTCTGGGCCTCACGAGAAACGTTGTTGAGATCGCGATTGTCACGTTCGAAGTCGAGGATTTTGATGGCGACGACCTCGTTGAAGGGAACGCATAGCGCCCGGTGCACGGAAGCGCTTACGCCTTGGCCAATCTCCTCGTAGAGAAGGTAATGCTCGGCGCCGATAGGGTACTTCTTCTTCTCTGTCTCTTTTTCTTTGTCCTTGTCCCTCATGGTGGATCCGATTGGAAGGAAAATAGAAAGAGTGAGTGATTTTGAATCAAAGAAGGAGAGTGAGGTGAGGGCACGTGAATTATGAGAAAAATAGTTATATGTAATAGTGAAGTAAATTAATCTCCGTGGGAACTATTGAAATTGAGGTAGTGTAAGATCGTGAGGCAGAGAATGCAGTGTGCAATATAGGGTGATAATTAATGGCTCAAACAGTGCATTCAAATTTGGAATTGAAAGTCTTTGTTAACGATAATGAATTCCTTAAGTTGGAGGAAAAAGGAAAAGTTTCTTAGACCAAAGAAACTATTCCTTCTCTTCTCTCCGCTTGTAAATAATTATTGATTAAATAAAGATGGCACAGCCATCATGATTATGATTTATGATCGAGTTGTGAAGAGATCAAGATGAAACAACTTCCAAGAATCATAAAAAAGATTCCAAGCCCTCTGAAGTTGGTATCGAGAAAGTCATCATCAAGGTCAAGCGCAAAGAAGCCATTGTTGGAGGCAGGAGAATCTTCCGACGGCACACGGATCAAGGTTCCCAAAGGATTCCTCGCCGTTTATGTGGGCCCCCACCTTCGGAGGTTCGTGATTCCAATAAGCTTCTTGGCCATGCCTGACTTCAGGGTTTTGATGGAAACGGTGACTGATGAATATGGTTGCGATCACAACGGTGCCATTCAAATCCCATGCGATGAACATTATTTTCAGCAAATTTTGACATCCTGTTCTCAAACAAAAAAACAACGGATCATTTTCCCTAATAACATCCCATTCACATGTACATATTAATTCATAGCATCAACATTCAATAATCTATTGTTTAGTATAGCTTCCATTTTTTTTCTTTTCTTTTTCATGCATGGATTCTTGGTCATCAAATCTTCAATTATGATATGACCAAACCTGCTACGTACTAGTTAATTAACGCAAGTTGGATTAATCAAAATTAATAAAATTGATTCCCCATTTGCCACAGAAAAATAAGGCATCGAAATGGTTAGATCGATCTCAAAAGTTTTGTTTAATATTTTTAGATTTTATAGGATAAAGTTATTATGCTTCAATCTAATTTTTTAAGATGGTATAAAAATATATCATAATCTATATTTTAATGATTATTAATTGATATTAAACTTATCATATCATTCGTTATTAGATTGTTTATGACATGAGAAAGATGTATTAAAGATCTCACATTATCTAATAATAAATTCATAATATAATGAGTATATGTGATGAATAATTCTCACCTTATTGGTAGTCGATTTTATAAAATTGATTTCTAAATGGCAAAAAAATTATCCTAATAAGTGTTGGACTTGACCTTCCGTTATCAGATCACTATCGACATGTTTTATATAATTATAACAAGAGAAGATTAGTTTTTTACATTATTGACATGCATACACGATCAAACATCTGTATATATGTTTTCATGGAGGCCTTAATTGATAAATTGCAGCATTGAGAATCGGAATAGTTTCCGGTTGGGAAGACATCAATGTGGAGATCGATGACTTACGTTCATATACATATATGTTATCAAAATAATTAAAAGCTAGCTGGGGAAGTATATATAACTTCAACTCAAAATCTGAATGTCTGGCTATAAAACTAATTAGCACTTGCACTACTTTGTAATTGATGCATGCATAGCCTCTAAGAAACAAAGAAAACTAGTAAAGAAAGGGGTGGTGTAGATCTATGTACACGTTTGAGCATGATGAAGTTCAGAATAACTAATATTATCTTTGTCTCCATTGTTATCTTGGACGGCCTTCAATATTTTCTCGAACACTGAGACTTGGCATGGGAATTTGAGGACACCCTCTTGCTGGAAACCAAACTCCTCTTCGGCTTGTCGAAGCAACATCTGAAACGCTTTGTGTTTCAAGTAATGGGTGGGAATAGTGAATCTCTTGAGCTCCTTCCCTACGCAAACAGCTAGGAAGCCTTTTGGAACAACATCGTTGGAGTCGGTGAATGAGAGGGTTCGTTTTAAAAACTTGATGCCTTTAGTGTTGTTGGAAGCAGAAGCAGCTGCCACTTTCTTCCACTTGTTAAGGATTTGTTGAAGCCTAACCACCTCTCTTATCTTGTTACATTTCTTTGAATCCATCTCTCCATCTCAAGAGGATGCTCCACAACTCATTTATAATTAAGCTCAGATCGATGCATACCTTGCCATGTTATTAATATTTATTTCAAATTACCGTTTCACTTGCAGTTCATTCAATCATCCCAAGGTTCACATATTTTTAATCACTTTTCTTGCTTAAATTTAAATATTCCTCACTATTCACCATGTACATTCCCTTCCTCTCTTTTGTACTAGGCATTTTCATATCCACGGAAGAGTAGTGTAATTAAAAAATTAGAATAACTCTTTTATATGTACATCTTTCTCGATAAAAATATTTTCAAACACTACTTGGTGCAGACATCTTGAGCAGGATAGAAAAAGAGAGAAGAGATGAGTGATTGATATGATCGGCAGTGTGATATGGCAAAATAAAATATAGAAAAAAATATTAGGTATCATAATTGATAAGTGGTTCAAAATTTGGAAGTCTCTAAAAATAAAACTTCATCTTTCTCTTTATACTATGATTGTGCAGTTAATGATCAATAGAAACTCATATATCTCAAGCACCTATATGACACTTTTTTCCTCTTTATTTTTCTTTTCCTATCAAATAATATTGTAACATGTAATATCTATATTTCTCTCTCAAGATGTCTAATAGCGTATATGTTCATGCATTTGTACCCAATTGTTTAATACTAAAGATAAAAGCGATTTCTGTAAAAATAGTAAATGCTTCTCATATTTCTTTCCATTATTTATATATATATATATATATATATATTCTTATATCACAACATATCAGCTATTTTTACAATCAAAATTTCCATGAATAACATGCACATCAATCAATAACTGATTAAAAAAATATATCCATCAATTATCAAGTAATAATTTATTCTCAAGGCTTTCTCTTACACAAATAGGATTTTTTTAGAAAAAATTTAAAATAGATAAATCTTAAAAGAAATTGAAAAAGAAATAAGTTACATTTTAATATGAGATATGTAAAAGGAAGTCATATCTAAAAACATGACTTGTGATTTTATATTTTTTCTAAAATTCAATCACAACTCCTATTAATTGAATTTTAAAATCTATGAAGTCACAAGTATGTTTAACAACTCCTTAATATATATATATATATATA